ACTCTCCATAACACCATCCGGGCACATTTCAAATTACAACACACCACAACTGTATATAGCCGTCTCCAACGGAACCATGACTGTAACAACAATTACATTGACATCTATCAGAGGTTACCGGCATCACGTCACCATACCCCGTCACAACCAATAATTCAAATATGTCCTTTTCAGAATCTATTCATGCTTAGTCTTGCTTGAAAGGCCTGCACGTGCTGCATGCCTTGCAAAGGCACCTGGATAACCTGGGAATGGGCTGTCAGACTCACTGCCAGGGTGCTTGTCTGACTTTATCTTTGCACATGTTCCTGCACTCTGCGTCTGCACTCTCAAGCCTCCATCTTTGAAAGCAACAGCATCCGGATTCTTCCCTTTCTCAATACGAGGAACGGATATACGTGGCTGAGTAAACCGCGGCGGCCGAGCCTGACAATACCCACAGCCCTCTGGGCAGGAAGAATCAAGGAACAACTACACCTTGCACTTGGCGAAGTCCGTCAGCTGTAGAGCTATCTCGTCCCCAAGTCGGATGCACGTATATGTACTGTCTGCATGTAGGTAGGTAGGTAGGTAGGTAGGTCTGTCTGTCTGTCTGTCTGTATGTGTCTATGAGTCTATGTATGTATGTATGTATGTAGGTAGGTAGGTAGGTCTGTTTGTATTTATTGTAGGTATGTAAGTATGTAGGCAACTTAGGTAGGTAGGCATTTTTCCTGAAGGCGGCGGTTGAAGTGGCCACTTTGGCCGGGCAGGGCCTCAGAAGAAATCCACATAATAGGTTCCAGCATTGTCTGGCAGGCCGCTCCTCCAAGCCTTCAGTGCCGGTCTTGGGCGCGTTCTGAGAGGACTTTGGAAAAACTTATGTTGTCCACTTACAGCCAAGTTCTAAGAATCATTGAAAAAGAAAAAGTGCAGAAAAAAAGCAAAACCAAAAAGCAGAAAGAAAAACTGTCTGGATAAGAAGTGCAGAAACAAAGCAGAAAAAAAGCAAACAAAAGTGCAAAAAAAAAGCAAACAAAAAAGGGAAAAAAAGCAAACAAAAAAGGGAAAAAAAAACAAACAAAAAAAAAACAAAAAAATGCAATTTTTCACCCACTTTTCCCCCACTTTTTTTGTGGCTCTGGAATTTGTGCTCCCACTTTTTCCCCACTTTTTCACCACTTTTTTTGTGGCTCTGGAAATGCCAAAACTTTGCACTTTCCTCGAAAAAAAGCAAAAAAGTGCGAAAAAAGTGCAAAAAACGTGCAAAAAAAGAGCAAAAAAAGTGCAAAAACAAGTACAAAAAAAGTGCAAAAAAAGTGCAAAAAAGAAACGTGCCCAATTTGCCTCCAAAAAAATGCTCTTTTTTGCTTTTTTGTTTGCTTTTTTTTGCTCTTTTTTTTGCTCTTTTTTTGCTTTTCTTGAACGTTGCTATTTTGTGTTTGCTTTTCATGCACGCACTTTTTCTGCACTTTTTTTGCACTTTTGTTGTTTCCCATACTCCCATAGAAGTTGGCTAACTGGCCAACATAAGGAAAAACCTCCTGCGCCGTGGTCCATTGGCGGCTGCCTGAGGATGCCAGGGTGAGTCTTGCAGCAGGCACTGCTCAGCGCATGAAAGCCAATCAGCCAAAGTCTGGACCTGGGCGTTGGTGGGGTTCTCGCAGAGCTTGATCTCCACAGTCTGTGGCACAAGTGCTCCATGTCGCAAAGCACGTGAGGTATTGGTGGAAATGGGTGGATCGGTCTATAATCCCTGGCGGCCGCGTCAAGTTCAAAGGCCAGCGCCAGGACGCTATTTTGGCGCAGGGCGTAGTTGAGCGGAACTTGCTGCCAAAGACTGTGCACGACTGTGCTCTGGAAAGCTTCAGCCGGGTTGCTCCAATCAAGCCTATCAAGACATAGTGACATAGGGTTGGCGAGCCCAGACCGGTGCCAGAACACGAGTTGGTGCTGTGAACTTTGCCCACACCTCTTCCTACCAGCACCTTCACAGAAATGACCCTGTCAAGGACATCCTCATCGTGGTGCACCGTGCGCGGCAAAACGCGCTGTAGCAACTGGACCTAGCTCGATAAGATCCAGCACGGCGACCGCTGTCAAACATGCAGCGCAGCCTGGTCAGCTTCCACCAAATCAGGCGCATCTACCACGCAACCCAGGCCAACAGTGGGCCAAGAAGACCTACCAGGAAGCTTTGATGACTCCTCCTCCAGGTCTTGGGCGATGGCGACCACTCAAAAGGTCGAAGCTCCAACGTGAAGCCACAAATGCTTGGGACCGTGGGTGGGCAGCCATGCCGCTATAGATCCAAACCAGGTTGCAACAACTTGGTGTCGGTCCCGCCAAACCTGAGGAACCGGATTTGGCTGATGTTCTCAAAGCACCAAACAACACATGGCCGCCCTACCAGTGCAAGTCCAGGAATTGGTGGCCAAGCTAAAAATACCAGAGCCGATGTCCATGGCTGGCAAGTTGAAACAACAGGTGTCTGACCTGAAGAACCTGGCAATCAAGAAGGCCCAGTACCATAGAGTGTTTGCGGGGGTTTATGTTCTAGCGCCTGAAGATGACACCTCGTCATGCGACGGCTCAAAACAAGCTTCTCATGGGAAATCATGCAACGTTGCAGGGGATATGCAGCCTTTGCATCCTTTTGCGTTGGGTTTCACTTCAGGATGACATTTCATCCAAATCTGCATCAATTATATACTTCATTCGTCCGCCACCTTCATCTCCTGCGCCATGGCCCGTCCGACACTTTGAAGCTCTGGGGGGGGCCTCTGACAGTTCATCTTTGCCAGCTCCTGGTGCCACTGAGACAATGGCCCACCTGCCGCTCTATGACTACGCCGCGCCAACGGAGTTGCTCATGCTATGTAAATCTAACAATGGTGGAAATCCAAGCCAAAGGCGTTATGCAAACGCTTGGCGTGCCTTCGCCTGGATGTGTGCTTTCTTGCAAGAGGACAACTTCCAACCTGGGGAAACATCCGCTCTGCAGTGCAAGACGCCCTCGAGAGCATGGAGCCAGTGGACCTTCTGCGCCTTCCAGGTCTCAAAGATCTTTGGGCCTTCGCCCTGAAATCAAACCTGGAGGATTCCTCACGGACCACTTCCAGGTGCCTGTGCACCTCACAGGAAATTGCAGCCTGCGCTAGGGAGCCCGGACTTTGGTCCCCCGCAAGTATTTTGGCATTTATGTTGGTCCTTGCAGAGCCTTCTTGGTGCGGAGGTACGTGCCAAGGACGAGGATTGGGTTTTCTTTGGCCTTCTGCGTGGTAGTGATCAACCCAATCATTTTTTCACAGTTTCCAGGCTTGTCTTTGTTGCAGTGTGCAGGTAGGCCAAATGCCTGTCTTCCGCGCCACGGACAGCAAAGTATTGACAGGCATTGTTGAGGGTCTAACCGTCCAAGTGGGTCTCAACAAAGAGAGCTGTCCCCCGAACCCTGAAGGTGGTCACGTTGGCAAAATGGAGGCAAGCTTCTCTGAGTGAACTTTGCCTGTTTCCTTGTTGGGCCAAGATCCTCCTGGCAGTTGAGGCACCGGTCACAAAGTCGGGGAGGAAAGGATCACTATCACGGGCATAGCGCCAGTGCCCTTCACAAAGGAGAGGCCAGGCTCCGATGGCAGTCTGGCCTGCGCCCGGCTTTGTATTGGACCGGCTTGAGGCCTCGAATGGCTTGAGCCGTGTAGGTAGGTTGGTAAGGTAAGGTAAGGTGAGGTGAGGTAAGGTGAAGTGAGGTGAGGGTAGTAGGTAGGGTAGTAGGTAGGGTAGTAGGTAGGGTAGTAGGTAGGGTAGTAGGTAGGGTAGTAGGTAGGTAGGTAGGTAGGTAGGGAGGGAGGGAGGGAGGGAGGGAGGTAGGGAGGTAGGGAGGTAGGGAGGTAGGGAGGTAGGGAGGTAGGGTAGGGTAGGGTAAGGTAAGGTTTGGTTTGGTTAGGTTAGGTTAGGTTAGGTAGGTAGGTAGGTAGGGTAAAAATAAAACTAAAAATATAAAAAAGTAAAGTGAAGCATATAATTGATGTATATATATATTATATGATGTAATGTATGTATATGTGTGTATGCTGGCCTGCATGTGGGCCTCGTGCACAACTCGTCCAGGGGTTGCTTCGACGGAGTCTGAGTCAGAGCCCTGGGCACAAGCCCAAACAACCATCCCCAAATCAGCTTCAATAGCCGAACCCCCCACCTGGCTTGAGAAAGATGCATCAATATCAGTGGCACAGGTCATCACCTTGCACCATCATTTCAAGAAGAAGAAATGGGGCTTTAAACAATGAGTTGAACGCCACTGTACTTTTGAAAGGGAACACAGCAATCCTCGGCGCAAGTGCACTTCTCTGGCGATTGGCATAGGGCAAAGGCCTTGGCTAACTAAAGCTGACTTCAGTCTTCCAAAGTCCAATCTTGTCCGCGCATTACAGGAAGCTCTGGCAATTGATCTCAGCAACTCCCGGGTAGCAGCAAACTATCCGACGTGGCCGCGGTCTGGCCTCTCAGAAATCAAAAAAATTGAAATTCGAATAAATCCTGTGATGGTTGAAATCGTCTGTGATCCTCTCAAGGTGCAAAAACTTCACCTGCAAGGCCAGCAAGTATTCGATGGCCGAGTCCTGTGCCATGGCCTCTGAGCCCTAAGTTTGAGGCGATAGGCTACGGCCGAGCACAAAAACATACTAGTAGCTTCTAGGCATCGCTACTAGTAACAAGGGCATTACTAGTAGCAACAAGGGCATTACTACTATTACTGGTAGCTAGAAGCTATTAGAAGCTACCAGTAACAATTAGTTTTCAACATCTCGCGCTTTGACAGGAAAAGTTCACCACAGCTTCAGGTTTCAAGCATGGGATGGAGAATCCCTCGCACAAATATCTGCATTTTGGGCTGCACACATCTTGAGGCATGTCCATCTCATTACTGAGGCTTCTGGCTGCACTTGCAAACGTGCTATGGTTATCTATGCTTCATCATGCTTCAATATGTGTTCAGATGCTTCAGGCCTGTCCGGCATTGTCCTGCAATTTTTGCACTTATCTGCATTGTTTGTTACCATGTCGACGCAAAACTTCCGAGCTCTCAGTAGCCTCCGCACCGGCACGACAAACTTCCAACTTCAAACCCGAGCCGTTGATCTGGCTAGTCTTAAGTGGCTCGGCTTGCACAAGCACCATTGGAAACGTCTCAGTTTTGGAAACGTCTCGCCTTTGAAGCCCTTATTCTTGCCGAAGCCTTTGTCGCCCTTTTTGCCTGAGAAAATCTTGCCAGTGCATCGGACCAAAAGCGGTTCCTATTTGCCGCCTTTGTCAAAGCCTTTCTTTCCATCCTTGCCAAAGCCTGCCATGTTCTCACAATCCGACGGAACAGCTCACACCGGCTCCCATGCACACCTCTCTCTTCTCACAAGCTGAATCATCCGTGCCTTTGTTGAAGCCTTTGTTGTAGCCTTTGTCGTATCCACCCTTGTCGCCCTTGTAGCCTGTTCAAGTTGAGAATCCACACGGATGCAGAATTGCATGAAAGCTGGCAGTCAGTAAAAGCGAGGGAAGGGTGGGATGGAGGAATGAAGTAGTTATTTTAATCTGGCAGGAATAAATAGCACCGGACTCCGCGGCACTTCTCAATGCTGGCTAGTGCGATGCTCTCCCGCGTCACCTCCTTTGAAGTCGCCCTTGTAACCTGCAAATGGGCTTGAAAATCTAATTCTATATAACACTCCTTGCAACAGGTGTTCCTAATCAGGCACGTGCACAATAGACAAGGATGTCTAATCTAGCGTGCTTGTTTTGAACTTCCTGCATTCTGCACTTGGTCAACGATCTTGTCGGCCTGGCCTCCAAGCACCTGCAACGAAAAAAATGAAAACACCAATCAACACACACACACACAACTGCCAACCAGTCCACACAAACGGAGGTATTGCGTGCGATGGCGGCTCTTTTGATGTGGGCATTGCTCAAACCCTTGAGTGGCTTCCTTTTAGGTCGCAGGCTCAGCGGCTATCAGAAAGATTACGCCTATGCTGCATATGACAGGAGAGACCCGTCACCACACTCTGAATCCACTTGCTACAACGCTGACACTTGAGACTCATATGCTTCGTCTAATCGTGAGGAGTTGGCCCAGGCCAGGTTGCGTGGTGAGGGTTTGCTCTCCTGTCTTCTCACGATTCTCATGGCATACTTCTTTGCATGAATCTCCTCGCTACATTTGTAGGGTTTGGTCGGGCTGTGATTCCCACAAGTCTTGTGTCCTGGTCGCCCTGTTTCGATTTGGTTGGGACGTTGTCTTCCGGGAATGCACATCGTCGTTCCTGTCCATTCTTGGGTGTCCTTGAGCCTCTCCTCTGATGGCTTGGCAATCGCATGGGCGTGTGTCTACACGTGAGCCGGTGGAACAGGCAGTCTCCTCCATTGTTGTTTCGTGTCATTTGGTGTCAATTTGGAAATGCAGGGCACTGAGCCTTGACTAGACTATTTCAATTGCATTGAGTTCGGGCCGGTTGCTCGTGCAGGTGCGTGTGCCGAGGATGTGGCATCCTGCCTTTTCTAGGTAATTATACGCACCTAAGCATATATCACCGCACCCTTTCGGCCGTTGCGCTCAAAAAGTGCTTCCTCCACACCTTCAGCAGCTTCCGGGACTGCAAAGGGGTGCACAACAAATTGCTTTGATCAAAACTAAACTACAAAAGATTGACCATTACCGGAACTCTGTAACTGATATCGGTCGGGGCACTCAGCGACAGACCTGCCTGTCCTTTTTCCTCAATCGAATCGCACAAGGCCAAGCCAAGGACTTATTGGAAACACGTGCTTTGTTTTCTGTGAGGTTGGCCTCATGCACTGGAATCTACTAAAAATGTTGGATTAAGTGGCTTTCCACTTTTTAGTGGATTTGAATCCTCGCGCGTCTTCTTTAAATGAGCACAGACTACATTTCGCCGGTTCGACAACACTCCGTGTCATGTTCACCTCTCTCCAACACAGCGTGCATTTTTGGGTCTGCCACTTCAATATATATATATATATATATGGGGTATCCCCTGTGAATTCCACCTGACCCCCAAGGGTGAGCATTTTATAGGTATAAACGGTACCCCCAGGGCTTTGCACTATACAAATCTATACAATCTGGACGCAAAAAATTGGCTGCAGAATATAGAATCACACACCCCATGCTTAAAATCTGGACCACTATAGAATCATCTGCAAAAATGGTCCTCTATAGAACCAGGAAATAACAGGTCGGTATAGTTGATGACATAGAGTAGGTGGCCTCATTCTATAGTGGACACCCCAGGTTGCCGGATCAAGTTACGGACGGCCGCTGATTACTTCAATCTTCCGCGAGGGAATGAGCAGGCTGACTGGGATGCTCTGACAAATCAGGTTGACTGAAACAAAACAATAGTTACAGTTTGAGGGCATCTGATGACCTGAAGAAGCGACATGAACAGTTGCTTTTCCTGTGAGCGGTCCGTATGTGTTTTCATTATGCTTGCAGTTGTTTCATATTCACATAATCTGTCATAATCTAAAAAACCCTCATGCCCCTTCTGCAATCTTTCATGAACCCTGAATCTATAGAGGGCAATTAGGTCTTGCTGCATGAAAGCCCTGGTTCTGTAGAGGAGAATTAGGAGGTTCCAGGAGGGTGACAAGGTTTGAGATTGGAGGCATTGGAAAGGTGATGACCTGGTCATGGATGATGGTTGATGGGATTGTGTGTTGACCATGAGAGTTTGAACCGTGAGAACAACGAGAGCTTTGCATATTGGCCCAAGTTTGAAGAGAGATCAGAGCCATGCCAATTGGGAGGAGCTTGCATTTGAGCTCATGGAGGAGGAATGGGCAATGGAGGCTCTATGTCTATGTGGTGAGGATGGTCAAGATGAGATTGTGAAGACACCAGCATTCAAAAAATGAAGACACCAGCACCAGCTGGAATGATTTCATGCAGATGGCCGGGAAAAGGGTGGGTCAAAAAGATCAGTTTCACCAGGCAGCTGTTTCACTAAAGTATGAAAATCTTGGATGCTAACTGAAATGTTAATTTTCTGGTGGCAAGTGGGCTCGATCAATATGGGAAGGTTTCTGCCACGAAAAATTAGGAGGCCAATGTGGAATTTAGGTTTTAACTTAGCTATATATATATATTAGGGGCTCGAGAAGGATTTGATTAGTTGTGGGAGGTGACTTAATCCTATGTCAACATTATACCAAAGGGAGCCAAGAAGTCTCATGAAGAGCAACCACTGACCTGATTTCAATCCATTCTCCAGTTGTTTCTTCGAGTCCATCATGCACAAGGCCATTTGACTACGATGTTTGTGCATCACACGTGAAAATGTCGGTCTTGGAGGGGTGTAGCAGTGTAGCATATATATATATATACATATACGTATATATATACTGTAATAATATAGGGTGCATGAGTGAACTCCACAGGCTTTGAGCTACATAAACAGGTCATTGTCCGTTGAATAATGATTCTGCATTTCAACACAAATATGGGGCATGTTTCTTGGCAATCATCGGTCAAAACTAAACTTGAGGCCGAGGGTAGGTGACGAAAGCAAGCGAAGCATACAGCGCCGTCCAGTGACAAAGGACTGGCGGGACATCAAGCGGAGTGAGGCAAAAAAAAAATTTAATAGGCATGGGGCTGCTGGAGGGATGGTTCACAAGGTCTCGCTCATGAGGTAAAACGCTGTGAACATGTAAAACACACGAACCACAATGACACAGCCAACCTTAGCTTGTGAATCTGTTGAATCTGTTGCATCGTACCCAAAAACCTCCATGGGGGAGTTGAACCAAAGCGGATGCCATAAGAGGTGTCCAAGAGGTCCCAGGGGGGAGTTGAACCCGCGGGGGGGGGGGGCGTATGTTCAACACTTAGGGGCCATGCAGCAGGCGCACTTATATAATTAGTGTAAGCGAAGATAACAACGTAGCCGCTAAATGGACGCAGTGACGCCGCTAAGTGGACGCAATGACGCCGCTAAATGGACGAAATGACACCGCTAGATGGACGCAATGACGGGCTAAGAGAACACACCAACGCGGAGCCCGCTGAGCCCGTCGAGCCCGCTGAGCCATCGAGCTCGCTGAACCCGTTGAGCCTCTTGAGCCCACTGAGCCCACTGAGCCCATCAAGCCCGCTGAACCCGTTGAGCCTGAGCCCGTCGACCCCGTCGAGCCCGCTGAGCCCGCCGAGCCCGCTGAGCCCGTCGAGCCCGCTGAGCCCGCTGAGCCCGCTGGGCCCCTCGACCCCGTCGAGCCCGCTGAGCCCGCCAAGCCCGCTGAGCTTACGTTTCACAAACATGTAACATGAGATTCAAGTGTGCGCAGCATTATAGTAAAATACGGCCCACTATATCGACGCCAAGCGTTCAAGGCACGGGGGGGAGCCGTGGCTTGGACTGTTCCGTTCTATGTGACGTCTGCTCTTCTCAGCAAGACATGTTGTGTGCGTGTTGACCTCGCGTGGCATAGTGGTCGCAGCATTTAGATCATCATGGCAATCGTCGCTGTTGTCAGCGCGCTACAAAGGTCGTCGTCGCCGCGATCGTGAATGGTGGCACGAGCATGGTCGTCGTTGACCGCCGCTGCAAGAAGCAGCGCGCGGTGTCCGTGGGGTTCGCGGGGTTGGCGGGTTTCGCGGGGGCCGCGGGGTCCCCGGGGTGGCAGGGGGTCCGCGGGGCCTGCGGGGTTCGCGGGGTTCGCCGGGTCTGCGGGGTTCGCGGAGTCCGCGGGGTCTGCGGGGTCCGCGGGGTCCGCGGGGTTCGCGGGGTTTGCGAGGTCCGCGGGGATTGCGGGGTTCGCGGGGTTTGCGGGGTTCGCGGGGTTCGCGGGGTCCGCGGGGTTCGCGGGGTTCGCGGGGTCCGCGGGGTTCGCGGTAGTAGTAGTACTGTAATCGTCGTCGTCGTCGTCGTCGTCGCCGTCGTCGTCGTCGTCGTGGCGGTAGTAATAGGAGTGGTGGTGGTGGTAGAGTGGTAGAGTGGTAGTAGTGGTAGTAGTGGTAGTCTTAGTCGTAGTCGTAGTCGTAGGCGTCGTAGTCGTAGTAGTAGTGGTAGTAGTACTGGTAGTAGTGGTAGTAGTAGTAGTAGTAGTAAAGTAGTAGTAAAGTAGTAGTATAGTAGTAGTAGTAGTAGTAGTAGTAGTAGTAGTGGTAGTAGTAGTAGTAGTAGAAGTAGTAGTAGTAGTAGTAGTCGTCGTCGTAGTCGTCGTCGTCGTAGTCGTAGTCGTCGTCGTCGTCGTCGTCGTCGTAGTCGTAGTCGTAGTCGTAGTCGTAGTCGTAGTAGTAGTAGTAGTAGTAGTAGTACCACAAGGACGGGTTAACTTAACCCTATATGTCGACCTAACTGACGTTATATTATAGTGTAACTGAGGTTATACATTTGTCTAAAACTGCGTAAGCTGCAGTAAGTGTTCGGCAGCACTTAAGCTTAGATACAGTGCACATGCTCTGTTTGTAAGTGTTTTATATCTTCTGAATCGAGATTTTGCAAAAACAACTTATTCTAACTTACTGCGCACTTAAGCATACTTACAAAACCTTGTTTTTTTCATGTTTGTTTTTGGTAAAGTATGTTTTTTTGGATGCTTTTCCTTTGTTTTTTGAATAGATTTTGTTTTTTCTGATAAAAGTTGCTTTTTGAATAGATTTTTTGACTCGGTTCATTTTGATGGCTGTATACATGCACTATCATTGAGTATAGTTAATTGTGTCAAAGGAGTTGCGCAGCTCATGTTGGCGGGGTGTCCGCTGTATAGGAAATCCCTGCCAAGCAGGGTGTTTGCGACAGACTGAAGGATAAACATTACTCACGCAACAAC